GCCCATGAGTGCAGTGAGGAGAGTGATCAAAAAGAGGAAATGTAAACAGTGCAGTTTTCCCTTTTTAAAATAACTCTTTCTGCATATTTTTCATAGCATCATATACCTCCCTATTAGCAGTTGCTGTCGTTTTTGTGAGAATGCTAGGTATTTTTAAACAAGAGAGTGTTCCTCGGCTTCTAGAGGAGAAGGCTGACAAATCACTAACCCACGTCTGGATTACAGACGAAACTGTGCTGTCTCCAAGTCTGAGAATCCTTGCTGCTAGGGTTAGCGCTCTCGTGGGAAGATTCCCAATAAAAAATTGAGCAAGCTTTAAAAAACTAAATTTAAGTAATAATCAACCTAACAAGTAATGAATGCTGAATTAATTGCTTGTTAGATCAGTCGCAGTTAATTAAAGTTCCAGTGAAAGCTCAGAAAAACTGACAGCTCCTCACTGAAATGGCAAGCGTGCCATGAAATGCGCAATGTTATGTATTTCTGTGGAACACAACATAACAAGGAAATGGTTCATATGACTGAACTAGCTGGCACAAGTGCTAAGCAGAAATGTCTCTGCTCGTATTATAACCCATGTGAAACAGTGACTGAGTAACCTTCTTAAAGAGCTTAATAATGGAGACTTCTGAAAAATTTCGGTAGCCTCGAGACCTACACAGATGCATGAGTGGAGAATGTTCAACAAATAGGTATGACTCAAGCGTAATTAACACATACCCAAATATATTTGACTGGATTCGACTGTAACACGGTCTTTTGTTACCTCCTGTATTTGCAGACCAATTTAAGGTCTGCACTTCAGAGTAAGGCCAGTAGCGACTGATCTGCAGTGAAGTGAGCAGTGTACAGTCCCAAATGGTACACACATGTTCCGAGCAAAAGAGGACTTTTAATACTATTGAAATACCACTCAAAGTGCTTCAGCAGGGACCAGACAGCTGCAAAACATTTAGGGACAGCTCAGGAATTCCCATGAGCAGAAGTGAGACAGGAAATAGTGAGAAGCTGAATAAAGTAGCTGAGGAAAATGCCTTTATTTAAAAGGGAGGTGAATTCAGAAGAAGTTCAGCAGATCCCAGTGCAGAAGATGTCAGAGAAAATAGATTAGGAATCATCTGAAAAGGGGAGGAAATTCTGTATACTGAAAATGTAAATTTTTAAATTCCAATTTAATACTCTCTTTCACATCATCTGGAACTTTGTCTTCAAGACAGTAACTAGCTACCTGTGATGATAAAGGAGTTTGAAGGTAATCATGCCTGTACGCTTGCATAGTTAAGTATGGGGAAAGGACATTTAGTCATCACATTGAATTAGGGAGCTTCGGCTTCCAAGTCTGTTTATACTGATGAGCCAATTTTTGTCTCAGTGTGGCACAAACTGCTTATTTGCAAATAGAAGAAATTTGGCTACATTGTAACAAAGGCTAGTTGAATGACTGCTTTGATAGCCTCATATTCTGAGACGGGCTAAGTTTGGGACCAGAAAAAGTTAGAAGTGGTCCTTTAAATGTGCTGTGAAGCCATAAGGTGGGGGAGGCCAGTAGAGTAAGAGTGGGAGTACTAAAAGGAGAGATCCAGCCGTCACCACGTCAGAGCGCTGAGGAGCTAAGACGGATGGCTGTGTTGGTCTCCTTGTGATCTCCTTGGGAGTGCAACATGCTGGCGATCATCTTTAATGAGCGTCCAGCAATGTACTCGGAGTACGAGCTCCCAGCATGCTGATCTGGCATCCTCATGGCACGTGGGAATGGGTCGCTTGCCAAGAAACAGCCATGCTTTGGGGTGAATCCTTAGCTTTAACCTAAAGGAGCAGGCAGGGTGTGTTGGGTGGTGCCTTTTAAACAGGAGGGGTGGAAGCTGAAACCAGAACATTCCATGGCGACTGGAGAAAGTTCTGAGGAGAGTGCAGTGAGAGCGGCAGGACCCCCCTCCCCCTGCCTGGAGGAGAGACAAAGAACAGGCAAGGAGGGAACTGAAATAGGAAGCAGGAACCATGTCAGGAGGCTGGGGACTGAAAGAAAGCAAATTAATAAACCACTGGGGGGAAAGGCGCACAACTGACCAAAGCCACTAGGAAAGATAAGCAAATTCCAGATTCTTTGACTGCTCTGTGCGTGCGTGCAGGCAGCCTGGCTCCTAAGTTTAAATATCATCATTTTCCTCACTGCAGCAAGTACGACCCTCGTGGCCGTGGCACACAGACAGACTTACAGAATGTGAGCACTTTATTATCTATATAATACGGTGTATTTGAGCTGGGTTTGTCAGCCTGGCTACCGCTGAGACAACCTCAGATTTCTAAAAATACATGGTCGTATCAGGGTGTGTGCATACATAAGGCAGTAATAAAAAGCTACTGGTAATATTCTGCCCGCAGCGTAGACAAACGGTTCCTATCAAAGGCAGGAGAAATCCAGCGTGCAGGCGGAGGGCACTGCGTGGCCTGAAGTGTTAATGTAACGTTGGATTTTGGAAGCTGGAAGCACGGTGCGCTCGTTTGCACATCAGTACCCAGCATGCTTTTTCGGTTCCACCGCTGTTGGATTCGAGTGCTGGGTTCAGCTGCGGGAAGGCTCTGCAGCTTGTGGTGCCCGCGCGTGGGCTGCGTTCAGGGTTTTCCACAGAGTACTTCAGGTGATGGTACTGGATCGTGGATAGGTCATCCAAGGATTCTTAATTAGGCTTGATGTTACAAATGCCAAAAAGTGCCCTTGAGCATTTTAAAAAGTGTTGTCTTTAACGAAACAAAGAACTCTGTTTTGGGAGCGTGTGTGTGTCTTGGGGGGGGGGGGGGG